ATGGGAGAAGAGTGGCTGGCAACACACGTGTCCACAATGCTGTTTTCTGAGGAAAGGGAGCCACTATTTCCAGAGTCCTGCATAGGCTGAATAGAAACTGAGCATTAAAATAAGCTTCTGTTTTTATCAAATCAGGAAAGAACAATAAAGGAAAAACCCAGTGCACCAATTACTACTTCTTGTACACCTTTCTGAAGAATTCCCAGGATCACAGGCCTGGGATTTTCAAATCAACAGAGGTTTTACATAATCAGCCCTTTCCAGAACTGACCGATGGAACAAAGGTGTCAATACCTCATTTGTGGTTATTTTGCAACTGCTCTTCTATCACTCTCACAATCTATCTCTAGGCAGGATTACACACGTATCTTTTTTCTCTAAAGTTAAAGGGTAGCACAATAAACTGGGCTACTGATGGGTGGGCATAGACCTTGGTCTTCTCCAGCCATCTGGAGATGCTCCTATCCTGGAGAAGTATGCAAGGTTTCTGAATCACAGAGTCCAACTGGATTACTCATCCTCAGCCACACCTAACATCAGAAGGGAACATAAGCCAGGATTCTCTCTTAACCTGAAGACGAAGAGCAAGCTGGTACTCTGTTCAGTAAAAGAAAGTTTAAACTAAATTATTTTTTAATATAGATTATTAGTCTTTACAGCTGCTTGGAATATTTTGCAAACCTGTGTGAAGCCACAGACAAGACTCCTGGTTTAGCTGTACTGGTTGGAAATGTTACCAACCCCATCTTCTCATTGCCTTTCAGGTGCACATTATTGCCAAGCACTACCAGGGGATGAGGTTGCATGGCAGCTCCAGAAAAATTCACCTGGATTTGCTCAAACTATCTTCCTTGATGGGTTAAACAGATTGGACTAACTGATGGGTTAGACTTTATCTAGAGCAGCCTATGTCCAGATGACTGCATCTGCTGGTAGGGATATGTGATTAGTAGGAAACATCTAGCAAAAAATTCCTGACAACATGTGGGGGATATATTATTTTTTTCTACTGGACTTTTCTTAAGTGATGTCTTTACTTCAGTTGACTTTACGAAAACATTTTTAACTAGTCTGGAAACAAGTGATACAAATGTTCTCTTTCACAATTTAAAACATATATTTATCATCAAAGCATTCTTTTTTCGGGGAAAGCTGTTTTAACAGTCCAAACCTGACCCAAGAGTAGCTTATAACACATTTGGCTGGGGCCAATGACCTTGCATAAAAGATAAAATTAAACTTGTGACTGGCATCAAAATCAGACGAGAATTACTTTAACAAACACTGAATGAATCAATGTGACATCCTGCTGAGGTGAGGTTTCCTGCGTTTCTGCGCTGCGGTTCTCTTACAACACAGCCTCCACCACAGCACGTTCAGTTCACTTCAACTTACACGTAACACAGATAAAGTTTTTTGTAAAAATCTTTACTCATGGAGAGTAGACCCAAAGTGTTAACGACCTGCTTACAACTGACGGCTTTGCACTGCTGACTGTCGTTCATTTCAGTGGCCAGCCCAGCCCAAACCACGACAGATTTAAAAATTATTGCATGCTTTAAACATCAGAGACCATACAATTCACAATCATAAATATGCAGGTGATCTGCATAATGCTACCAACCTGCACATCAGCCTCAGTTTCAACTGCGCAGCACAAAACCCTAGATCAGGTGGTGATAGATACCAAGTCCTTATTACCATCACCTTTTCCAAAAAGTAAATGCTTTAACCCCACTACATAATTAATCACCGAGGCTTTCATCTGGTTCCTAAGGAACAAGCTCTCAAAATTATTTCAGAACTACTTAGCATTTTAAATTATCATCTTTTCTGCACGCAGGCATTTATGCTGTAGATAGACATTGCACCTCATCATGAAAAAAAAAAGATAAGCACGGTTAAATACATTTCAAGGTTGCCAAGATAAAAGAGCCAAGGGACTGCTACCTGCCATGGATAATTATACCGATTTCAAAATGTCTTTGTTACTTCAGAAAAAAACTCATGGTACAACATTAGAATTTTTCTGGTGACCTGGACCCTCAAGTCTGTAGACTCCAGATAAACAACAAATCTCATCATTTTCCTCAGAAATGCTCAAGAAAAAAACTAGAGTATCAGCACAGAGGGCAAACCAATGGAGTGAGTGAGTAAGGTACTTAACAGTGTTAATTTCTTTGCTATGAGACAGCAAATACCTGTCTTATGATCAACAAAATCTCTTTGGTTGTATTTTTATCCCCCAGAACTATTAGTTAACGTGCAAATAATAGGATTGCTAAGACTGTAGGAAAAATAAAACACAATAGATTGCCATGAGTTTATTTCTTTTCTTAATATTCAGGATGAGTAAGTATAACAACTTTAAATACCATGGAAAATCTAGTTATAAAAGCAAAGGCTACATGAACGAAGTAGACATATAGGTCTTACTCATACCTTGCCTGTGAAACATTAGAAGTTTTAATGCCAGCGTTTATTTAAAGGGATCATAAATTAAAAACTTTTCTGACACATTCACTTCTGGTTTCTTTTTTTTCTTTAAGTTTCTGCCTTGGGCTAAAAATGGGTATGTTCACCTGGTTCTAAGTAACTAAGCACATGGTAAGAAAGATAATATTCTGAATTGGAAGTTACTGCCTTACAGATCAGGTACATTAATAAATCATACAAGACTCGGTCTACTGGAATATGCAATAAAATGGGTTTCAGCTACGCAGCTAGGAAGCTTATTAGGCAAGTCTAGTTTACTTCATATTTGCAGTGGACTAAGAACATGAATGCAGTAGGTTACCATATGCCAACTGAAGGATGGTAACCTCTTAGGTACTAATCTGACTGTTTAAGGAGTTATCCTGCTGATTGAGTGCAAGAAAGGTTCTCGAAAGGGAAGGTAGAAAAACTGAAAAAAATTAACCAAAGAAAAAGAACAGACAGATAAAGACAAAAGGAAAAAAGTGAGAATAATCTGAAAGACCGTAAGACAGGCATACTGTGTCTTGACACCACCGCCACAGTTCATACTGCAACAGGTTTTGTCACTGAAGCTAAGCTAGCCACATCCCTTCCTGGAGACAAAACTTGTACTAACATCAGGAGTTCTTCTGCCTCCTAACACCACAAACACAATGCCTCCGCTGTAGATAGGAAAAAACTTCTTGCAGCAAAAGATGACTTTTGCACACTAAACATGTAACAACACAGTGAGTTTTGCTGGCAGGTATCTTTGTTAGGGATGAGTCAGGACTTCAAACAGTGTTGATACACCATTGAAAGATCTTGTAGCATAATTCTAGTCAACAGGACATAATTCTCTCACCAAAACCATGAAAACATTGCAGAGCTAACTCTTGGATCATGGTAGTTTAATAACATACTTAAAAATCATGAATAGACGAATAACCAAAGAGTAACCCTCTAACCATACGAGAGCAGAAAGCCCGAAGTGGTATGACATTCAAGGATTGTCTGACTGTAATGGAAAAATGCCAAGAAATCTTCTGGAAGCTCTAATTTGAAAAAAGGTAATAGGATGATATTTATGATATTTAATTCTCAACTTAACATGTTACATGAACTGTATAACCCTTATTGAAATATTAAGAATTCACCTCCCACTTTAAGTATTTTTAAAATAACAAAATTTTCACTTAGTAAATGTTTCCCATTTATTCTGTCATTGTTTCTCTGCCCCTCCAGTCCATTCTCCCATGCTACTGCTCTCCCTATGTCAACTCTACTCCAGGAGAGCCTGGGATGTCCACATTTCTGTATTGTATTTCAGAATACATTCAACAAAAACATCTTTAGAAATGCTAGGTACAAACAGCAAGTTGTTCAGGCTGTCATTCAGAAATATGTTAAATTGGAATTTCCCTTTTAGCACTCTTCCAAGACAACATGCAAATCCTCACCCCTACCAACCAAGCAGAACAAAAACCATCCAAGCCATAATAAAATTAGTGGCCTCATATTTCAAAAGGTTCAGAAGTTATTGCTTTCAACATATCTGTCTGTTACATTTTGAAATCTGAACACCAAGCCGAGGAATCCTCATTGGAACAAAGTACAGAGTAGCTGAATTTATGAATTGTGACAAAAAACGATGCTCGAAAAATCTTATCTTGGCACACCCTGGTGAAATGAAGTTACAGATTGCTAATGTTTATTTCAGCATGCTCACCATGGCAACTGAAATAATTGCATATTTAGGTTTACAAGATTTCATATTTTATTTTCATCTTGGATCTGTTTTCTCGTGAACAACAATTTAAAAAACCCATGTGCATACATCACTCAATTGAAAGAATAAAATCAGTTTCATAGCACATACCTATGATGGCCGATGTGTCTTGCTCTTTTAATGTGCCCAACTCCCTTACATCCTGCTGTAGGACACCCTCCATGCTCTAAAGCTTCTACCAATTCCAAGGGACCTGCATGTCAGGGGAAATTACATTAGAGATTATAAAAAAGTATCTAATTTTTAAAAGTTACAAATAGGTAGGAATACCAGAGTACCATAGTAAACATGAAGAAGAAATAAGTAAACAGAACCTAATTTTAAAGTACTTTAAAAATGCGTTCTGCAAAAGCATGACAGAGATTCAAACAACCTAATCCACTGGAGAAATAACTTTGTTTTGTATTAGTAAACCTGTACAGGAGAGGTACATCTATATAAAGAATCCAAATCTTGGAGGAACTGTATGACTTCAAATTTCTCTCCTATTAAGTACACGTAGTTGGAAGCTGGTAGTTTTGCAAAAGCACACAAAGTGAGTTACCCTGCTGTACTTGAAGTCAGGCATCTGTTTGTAATGGGTACTGACCTTCTCCATTTTCAGCTCAAGTTTTCCAGTGAACAAGACATGAAAACAAAGGCTGAAAATACTACTAAAAACAATAAGCCATCAGGAGATTTTTGACATTTTTACTTATCCGAATTTATGTGTCTATCTGATTTTCAGCATCTGTAACAATAACATCTGCAGAGACATTAAAGCATGTAGCTGTCAAAACTAGCTTGCAAGCAAACATAGTATATAACCCGTAGTTTCACAGCAAGTGAGAGACAGACCTACTCCAGCATATGAAACTGAGAACACCTCCTGCACATCTGCAAACATGCACTGTCTCTCTAGTACTGGTTTTACTTGAAAAATACATGAACTTGCATCTCCCCCTATAGATAACGATACTCAGGTAAAAAGGTTTATTTAAATAAATTCTCCTAGATGAGAGACAGATTCTTGCTCACAGATGCATAACGAAAGATGGAGAATTATTATGTATAATTAGGACAGTCCAAAAGCATTTTTTAACAAATGTTCCATATTACAACACTGACTACACTGAAGTCCAAAGACTTCTATAGGCTTTAAAATGGTAAATGGATGAGAGAACAGAGATTTTTATCTTTTCTACCTTTATGCAAAATTGATGCCTATAATGTAACAAGTTAGTGGACTCAGAGGCATCAACTTAATAAGGACACTTTTGTAAAGGGAAGTCCTGCCTCACTGATGCTCGGGTTTTGCAAAAACTAGCTCCCTACAAATGTTCTCTCTTCACTTAAAAAATTCAAACTCTCTAAAAATGCAGCTCTCTAAAGAGCTGCAACTGGCTGTTCATATTTATGCAAGAAGCTGCTGCTTGCATCACGGTGAAACGATATTAAAATCAACACCAACATATGGCTCTTAATTCCCTAACTGCTATCAAAAAGGTCATAATCCATCACGACAACTTCACTACATCTTAAGAGATATTACATAAATACTGGGAGCATGTGACCATTATGGTGACTGCTCTAGACTAATACTGCTAACATCGTGCAGTGTTCACACAAAGCTTCTGGTGTTAAAGACAGGGATCTGGACCGTATTATTAAAAGGACTACTTTACTGACCGAGGAAAAAAATCCTGTGTCTTGCAAAAATATTTTCTTCCCTCCTTCTGAAACCCTTTCACAAAACTTGAAATGAAATTTAACTTACTTGGAAACAATGTTAATATTTTTATAGCAATCTATATTCTATACCATATTCTATGGCAATAATACAAAGTCGTGTTGTTGGACTAATATATTATTCAGTAATCATCCTATTTGAATAGTATTTGCGCAGTTAATTATTCTTTTTCTATTTAATGGATAGTCACTTTCCCTCCTGTCACATTGTCTGTCTTTGTAGCTTAACTAGTATCAGAAAGTCACTTCCACTGGTCACATGCTAAAAGATATGAACAGTGCGTGCTGTGCCACCACATGATGTCTTGTATGCGATGGGCATCTGCATTTTATTTCATAGAATCGTTATGACTGGAAAAGACCTTTAAGAACATCAAGTCCAACTGTTATCTAACTCTACCGGGCCCACTTCTAAACCATGTCCCTGAGCACCATATCTAGACAGCTGCCAGTCAACACTCCCAGGTCCTTTTCCGCCAGGCAGCTTTTCAGCCACTCCTCCCCAAGCCCGTAGCGTTGCATGGGGTTGTCGTGGCCCAAGTGCAGGACCCAGCACTTGCCCTTCTTGAAGTTCATACTATTGGTGTCACCCCATCAATCCCGCATATCCAGGTCCCTCTGAAGAGCCCTCCTACCCTCAAGCAGATCAACACTCCCACCTAACTTGGTGTCATCTGCAAACTTACTGAGGGTGCTCTCAATCCCCTCGTCGAGATCATTAATAAAGATACTAAACAGGAGCGGCCCCAACACTGAGCCCCGGGGAACACCACTAGTGACCGGCCGCCAACTGGATTTAACTGCATTCAGCACCACTCTCTGGGCCTGGCCATCCAGCCAGTGATTGATCCAACAGAGTGTACACCTGCCCAACCGTTGGGTAGCCAGCTTTTTTCATGAGAATGCTGTAGGGAACAGTATCAAAGTCTACTGAAGTCTAGGTAAACAACATCCATAGCCCTTTCCCTCGTCTACCAAGCAGATCACCTTGTCATAGAAGGAGATCAGGTTCGTTAAGCAGGACCTGCCCTTCATGAACCTGTTTTGACTGGGCCTGATAGCCTGGCTGTCCTGTAAATACTATGTAATGCCACTTGAGATGATCTGCTCCATAAGCTTCCCCAGCACTGAGGTCAGACCGACAGGTCTGTAGTTCCCCCGATCCTCCTTCCAGCCCTTCTTGTATATGAGCATCACATCTGCTAATCTCCAGTCCACTGGGACCTCCCTGGTTAGCCAGGACCTCTGATAAATTATGACGAGTGGTCTGGTGAGCACACCCACCAACTCCTTCAGCACCCTTGGGTGTAACCCTTCTGGCCCCGTAGACCTGAGTATGTCTAGGTGGTACAGCAGGTCACCGACCATTTCCTTTTGGATTATGGAGGTCTCATTCTGTTCCCCATCCCTGTCTTCCAGCTCAAGGGGCTGGGTACCCAACAAACAACTAGTCCTGCTATTAAAGACTGAGGCAAAGAAGGCGTTAAGTACCTCAGCCTTTTCCTCATCTTTAGTCACTGTGTTCCCCCATGCATCCAAGAAAGGAGGAAAATTCTCGCTAGTCCCCCTTTTGTTGTTAATGTATAGAAGCCTTTTTTATCATCTTTTACACCAACAGCCAGATTCAGCTCTAGTCGGGCTTTGGCCCTTCTAATTTTCTCCCTGACATGTCTCCAACAAAATGAACATATGTATTTTAAATCGTAACCTAGGTGGGAGTACAGATATTTATTTTTTTTTTTTTCAATCTTAGGTAATACAGACGTCAGAACCTTATTCAGCCTTTTGCCATATGATACAGTTTTTATTCATGTGGCCACAGGTTACTTTTTCTGACTGGGCTGATACTTCACTCAGTACACAGGATGCACATCTCAGTTTAAGAAGCAGATATGCAGCATCCGATCTTCTCCTCATTATTCACTTTGTGCTTTGGCACTTATGGCACTCTATTCAGGCACTACTTTGAAGGCAGAATGATTAACTTCCTAAAAGGCAGTCATCACTGTACCACTAAAGTGCTCAGAAAACTAATGAATGTACTCTGATCACACTCCTGATAGGAAACGTTTCTTCTTGACATTTTAGAGACGCTGAATTGAGGTACAGAGATTTTCAGGTAACACGTTCACACAATCTATGTGTGCCTTATCCCAGTTATTTTACATTTATTTTTTTCAGAGTATTTGGCATTGCTCAGCATTTCTTATTTTCCAAGTACAGCTCTCTGTGATCACAGTTACAGCTGTGAACACTCAGAACTTGTGCAAACCATACCTCAGATTCACAATATAAAACAATCCCAGAGAAGAGCACGCAATTAAACATCATCTGTTCAAAGTTCGGCTAAGGTCATTTCACTACCCTTATCCAGAAACACAATGGCATAGGCAGGGATACCTTTACCACAAAAGTCTCTTCTCCCTGCAACCTTCAGTCTCATTTGTGGCAGACCTCCCACTTCTTCAACAAGTAAAACAAAAACCCCAGAGGGGGCAAGCCGGTAAATTTACAGTATTATTGGCACCATGCTTCTGTTAGATTTATCTTCAATGTGGGCACCATTAACCCCTCTTTGCTCAGCTGAAGAAGAAAAGGAAGTCAGCTGGTTTTGAGGATTTGCCACAGTATTTGAAAGGAGTCCCTTCTCAGTGCAGTCTGGACCTCTTTGAGCTAAAAAGCACACTACCCTTCAAGAGGACGTGGACAGAAGATTTTGAAGAGTGACACCCTATCCCTACTGAGTGCCACAGCAGTTTCATCCCTGGCTTCAAGAGGCAGACAGGATTTTACACAAGAGATCTTTATTGTTACTTCAGCTTTTGACTGTGGTTCTTATGCATAGAGAAACATTGTATTTCCATTACAGTAAGGGTCAATAAAGCTATCTACTAAAAGGTGATTAATTACTGACTGTTGATTTTGCACTAAATGTCACATTTACATTATTTTGCATATCCTAGTCGCTACTCTTCCTTGGATGGCACCGGCAGGGAAAAAGATAGTATGGCACATGTTCGTCATTACATTATAATGTGATTTCTCTTACTAAGCGGGGGCTGAAGAGGGTGTCCGGTTTTTGTACACCAGCCTGCAGGATGGATATCAGGGCTATCTACATCAGTCCAATAATCATAAATACTATCCCAGCCATCAAAATGGACCTAAAATAAAAAAAGAACACCACATTTTAGATCAGAAAAAAATTCTCTACAAAATCAGTTTCCCTAAGTAATCTCTAAAAATGACACGTCCATTAGAGAAGTCACTTCATGAGAACTGTTGACTTTACGAAAAAAAAAAAATACATGTAAGGTAGCTTCTGGACCCAGACATATTCTCACTGAAGTAAAGAGAGAGGTGTCATTTGGTTGTTTACTATGTCTTGCATCATTAGGCTCAAATCCCAGGAATAAATCTGGCAAGTTTACTTCTCACTCTAATACTTAAATTAAGTATAAGTAAGGTACTTAGTCAAATTACCACCCTAGAAGCTACAAATACTGTAATCTTAATAAATTAGACTGGAGAGGGAGGGTGGCTTTTTTTGTTTGGTTTGTTTTTTTGCATGACCAACTTAAAGTCTAGATAGAAAATGCGTAGGTGTGAAGATATTAGTTCTGATGACTCCCTATCACCAGTTAATTCAGATTCAAAATGAAATGTCAGCTGCATTTCCTGCTAGAAATACCATGTACGCCTAATAAATCTGTACAAACTGCAAACACAAATATGCTTCATATCCATCTAACCAGATATCTGGAACATGCTAGCCCTTCTAACAGTTAAGGGCTTCAGAGAGTAAACACGTTTTGTACAAAAAAAGAAAAGTAATTCAAGTATACAACTTCTGGAAAACCGTCATTTCTTAAAAATAAATTATTTGAGATTAATCCAATCTAAAGTCCATAATTAAGATAAACTTCAGAATTGCACAAGTCACTGACAAGGTACAAGAGATCAGGGTCCTTTTTTTTAATCTCTCTCTCCTCTCCTTGGAAGTTTATAGAGACAGATTCAATTAATGTGGGCCAAATATTTTATGGGCCCTAATACAAATATCACAGCAGTCCTTCGACACTTGATACTAAATCATCACATTTCTTGATAGAATAGACAACTGTTTTATATCAACTATTCCCAAAGCAATTTTTGAACATACTCAACTCTGTTCTCTAATTACCTACATCAGCAAATGTAACTAAGAGGAAATAGAACAACCCATTCCAAAGGAATTATATTAACCAGTGAAAAAGATGAGCAAAAGCTTAGCAGGACACAGCAACATGACTCATTTCTTCCTGTGCTTAATTTTACAACTATAGGCTTTTGGTTTTACAAGATACTCATCAGTCACTCAAGCAGGATAGTACAGTAAATCAGAGAAACTTACTTTTATTCTATAATCATCAGTATCTACAATGGTTGCTACTCTGATAAATACTGGATTCCTCTTGTCAACTACTTCAAGTTTCATGTTTTTCTGAAAGCCATGAGAAGGTTTCTAGAAAGGAAGAACAGTATTATGTGAAACAGAAGAAAACCTCAAAATTCTCACACAATTGTAAAGTATATAAAATCCATACCAAACTTTCTGCCTTCATTTTCTCAAATCTGCCCTCGCTCCCAACAAATCCAAGCATAAAAAGATCATTCAAACCAGTGTTATTAAACTAGAGAAATAAAGTAACTACAGTGGGATTTCAGGTTCTCCACTCAAGCCTTACAAGTAAGTAAGTAGGGACCTTTATTTTACATGAGTTGGCTTTTTTCCTAAATTCTCTAGAAAAGTCTGCCCAGAGATTTTGGCCAACTGTTTCAATGCACTACTGAATGAAGTATTACATATCAGCAGCCTGGAATGTCTATGAAATCGTCTACAGGAAAAATATTTGTGTTTCTTAGTATGTATTTTTGCTTTGTGGATCAAACACTCTTTTTCAGTCTCCTACTGAAAACATAACTAATCCACAGTGTAACAGTAAATACTCACTCAGAACAAACAGACCTGTTTTATAATACTATTTTGGCAAAAAAGGTGTGTTTGTTAGGAGTATCAGATTTTATCCTTGCCATCTACAGCTATGAAATCTAAAGCAAAAAATTTATTTCCATTTTAAAGGAACATATGCACAAGACACGTTATGAGTTTTATTTTAGATTTCTAGGAAAATAACGTATCTGTCCCTCTTAAGACTTTCCAGCTGCTTTTCCCTCAGCTGCACCTTAAGAACTCTATTTTCTCCCATAATATCATATAAAATACTGTGACTGTCCCGGGAAGACTTCACCCAAACTCCAACACCATCAGCATTTTATTCCCATTACATCTGCTTTCTTATTGTTTATCACAATTAGCATTAATACGGTTACCATCAGACTAGTACAGAAAGCAGGGAAGTGATTTTCTCTGTCTGTGAAACCAAAAGGCAGAACACAGCTGACCTCCATGCAGTCAAGCTTCCTTCCCCTCCATCCTCAAAGCCAGATGGACTTGTCTAAGCTACCTTTTGGGACCTATGCCATCCCCAGCTGCTCTCTGCTAGTATGGTTTCTGGAACAGTGTTGCGCCATGCCAGCTAGCGCTCTCCCCGTTTAATACTCTCAATGCCTGCACGCTTGTGGCAGGCCCTGTTCAGTTTCCTGGTGCAGACACAGCCAGGTGGACCCTGCAGGCCACTAGTGGGGCAGGGCCACCGAATCCCAGGGGAAGAAATTAAACCACGGATGCTCTGAGAGAAAAAGTTTGCGTTTAGCTTGATGTAGTCAAGCCATCCACTGTGTCACCAAGGACTATACCTCTCAGATATAACCAAATACCTTTCTAACCCTTGCTCTGAGTGTTCTTGCTGAGAACGTAAGATTGAGACACGTTATTAAGCACGATGCGTTTTGGGGTGATAAACTGCAGGGCAGTAATAAACTCTGGTGATCTACTGACCCCAGGAACTGCTATAAGCACCACATTTCTGCTTTCGTTAATCCAGCTCTTAGCAAAGCGTTATTTAGAATTAGTGACCCTAATCTGAAAAGCTGAGGCAAACCAGCTTCTGCGTGCTGTGAGACAAGGGGCTGGGAGCTACCAGCCATCTGATGCTAGCTCCTGACAGGGATGCTTTCTGCATTACTGACCAGCCCACTTTCCTCATTAAAATCTTAACAGCTCAAGAAAGATGAGTGTCACTGAAAGAAAATATCAAGTACAATGCTAAAAGAAAAGGACATTGCCCTCCAACACCACAGTTAAGCTGGGGAGCTGCCTGTGGATGCTGCCCATGTGCCCTTGTCACAAGCTTGCAGAACAAAAAGTCTACTTTAATAATTAATTTATAAAATTATTACATTTAATAGTATTAAATACAAACTCTCTCTTGGCTACTGCCAGAGACACTGGACTCGACAGGCAACCAGGCTGACCTCCTACAATTGTTTTTACATTCTCACCTTATTTATTGCACCATTTAAAATGCATGGATAGAAATACGTATGTTCAAAATATGTTACGATGGCTCAGTAGCTATCTCATTATTTCTAATAACTAAGCAGTAATTTCTCATGGCAAATTACATCAATTAGTAATATTTTGTAGCATTTAATCCCATTTATAATGATTAAAATAATAAAGTAATAGTGATTTAGAATAATAATTATCTGATTTCTAACAGTGATCTCCTAGCTTGCATAAAGATAAACCACCTATTATGCAACTAATTAACTGGATACATTTGGAAACATAGGAACACCATATATGTATTCTCTTCTTAAACCAATTAATTATATGCACTTAAAAGCATGAAAAAAATATAAGCATTTTCTCACCACTTTAAAAGCCCTTGCAGGTGCAGGTAATGAACTGGTTTCTTCCAAATACTTCTCCCAAGAAAAATGCTTAGCGTGTGGATAATCTGGCACAGAAGAAATATGAGCAAATTTTAAACACTGCAGTGCACAAAATAAAACTGATGTCTAATTTTCAGAATGCCTAACACTTTTACAAAACTGTTCCGGTTTATGCATCAGATTTATAAAATAATTACAAGAAAGGCTATCCTCAGTTATCTTTGACACATCCACCATGTAGGTTAAAAAACTCAACCACCTTCTCATATGCAATACCAAGTAGCTAGCAGAAAAAGTCACAATTGCTTTGAGTATGAGAATATAAATAATGTGGACTGGAAAAACCTGTCCACTTAATTCAAGAAATTCATTCAAGTATTATAAGCCCAATCCTGTATTTTATAAACAGTAATTTACTGGCTAACACAATTTAATCAGTGATAGCTTTGTACTGTAGTAGAGGACACCTGACTACTTGCTATTCTTTTGGTGAATTTGTTTTCACTAAATTTCTAAAAAAATAACCTAGACATTTACTATAAGAATAATTTACAAACAGCATCAAAGAAGATGTTGCCTTTCTCAGAAAGTGTCATGTTTACAAACACTTTACGCAAGAACCAGAGAGAGCTTTGCTCTTAAAGAAAAGGCAGTGCCCATCCTTCGCCTTTAATCTGCACTAGAAGTTTAACTTGAAGTTTAAACATTATGATTCATAACCTAGAACAGAACAAAACCAATTCTGATTTGTTTCAAAAGGGATTTCACTGAATAATAGCCTGTAATTAACGTCCTGACAGATTGCTTACGACTTTTCAAGATTGCTGGCTATTAGAATTTCTGTCAAAGTTGGTTTTAACCAATTAAAATTTTCCATGTTCTCAGACCACAGATGGCAGTTTCTGTAACAGGGCATTTAGATCATCCAGCTGTACACAACAGTCCTGAAAAACCACTGTGGTCTCATATTTTGTACTAATGAATACACTTTCATTCTTATGTATTGTCTCTCTCATTGTGTTTTCCTCCCTTTCAAAGAGCCCTCACAAATTTTATTCCCTGACCACATAAGGCAACCTTCTCATCAATCCATTATCTTGCATATAGAGTTCACATGAAAATGTTTTTCTTATGCAGCAATCTCACACACCTGGAATTTGTTTTATCAGCATTTTCACAATGTGAGTCTTCTAAGTGAATACATTCAGCCAAAAATACAAACTTGTTCAGATTCTAAGGGGTATCTTTCATGGATAGATCTCTCTTTACTTAAAGCAGCAGACGTGTGCATGTCTACTGTATTTCTACTTTCAATATATCATGTCCTGTAAAAAAATTTAGAACTCCCTAAATACCAATTCCTAATTACAGAAAGAAAAATTCAAGAGAGGTAACAATAAGCTTATTGTAAGCTTTAATGCTGCTTAAATAGCCTCCTTAAATCTTTCACATGTGTAGTAAGATACAAACCTGGTGGGGTGATAAGAGTTCTTTTATGTTCTTTACACCATCCTACAGGATGAATATGTGGGCTAGCTGCCTCACACCTGGAGGAGGGGGAGAAAAAAGGGGACTGATAATGCAATTCATCAGACATCCTATTATGCTTAGAAAACAAGACATACAAAAAAGATTTAACAAATTCCAAATAACCTACGACACCTTCAACTTACACTTAAACTGCAAACATAACCTGAAGATATGAACACATTTAACAGATTTGTCACCACATAAAAAAGCATAAGGCTTTATTTACAATTTCAGTGGAAGATCAAAATATCAAGTCCATTAAGTCAGTGGTAGATCTCCATTGAGAAGCTATAATGCTGGACCTGAAAAATTCACATGTGGAGACTCTCAGTAGAAACATGTTGGCTGATTGCGAGAAAACAGTAATCCCAAAGACAGATGGGGTTTCGCAATGCCAAGACCGAAACTTTAAACCAAAGGTTAAAGATCTTGATTAATGATCCAAGTTGCACCTGGAGGCAGATTAGAAAATCATGCATTACTGCAATGTGCTGTCAATAACAAGTAAAATTTCAAAAACAGATCCTGAGTGGTTTGAATGGAGCTATAAACATGTTATTAAAACCCAGTAGCACATAAGCAAAGTAAGTCTGAGAAAAACAGTCAGCAAAAAGAGAATAAAATAGCATTTTAGGCCCCAAACTGCCTGAAAGAATCCACAACTAATCAGTGACCAAAGACTGCAAATTGCTCTATAAAAAGCAGGATCAAACTCTCTCACTCAAGGGACTAACAACTTCCCATATTTTCTGTCACGTGCACCGCATTTTGCACTAGTGCTGTTGCCTGTGGCATGCCACAAGAACCACAGAAGACTAACAGAGGAAGGGTGAGCTGCACTTGACATGTGCTGGCATCTGTCTGAAGCAAGGAGAGATCGCTCTCACTGTTCACTGTTACATCGTGCTTAGAAGAAGGCGGCGGTGGGTGCTGGCTATAAAGTTCTGTTAGCAATAAAAAAAAAAATAAAATCACACACCGCAAAAATGTAACTGATGTACAAGCAGATGAGCGAAAAACTGTTTAAACGTTCAGTATTATTAAATTATACATAGAACCATGCAATTTTGTTACATATTGTTGTGTTATTTCATAACATAATACATTATGTACATACAATATAACATTGTATATAATACATAATGTATACACTGCAATTATATTATTACTCAATATTATTAGGGAAAGCAAAAAGTAAGACTGATCTACAGGAAAAGTAAAAAGCCATCAGACTGCTGTGCAACATGTACCATCCCTATGCCTGCATCGATACTTAATGATTGTTTTTGAGTTAGTTGAACAATTAACGGGGCTTTTTAAAGAAGTAGATAGTACTTATGTAGTCAGGGCAACTAAGGAACGTCATGCTGACACAAAAAGCTAGCATTACTCTGCATGGCACTGTACTATTCCATGTGAACATACTGTTTGCCTCTAACTGGAAACTCATATAACCATCTAATTGCCATGTAGATCTGTCCTTAGGGACCTCACTTCTCTTAGCAGCCTGTCCCACCTTATTTCTTCTTTAGTTAGATAAATCCAATATTATAGGGCACTAGCTCTCTCTTCCACTATATCTTAACCCTGAAGGTGCTTCAGTAGCTGACATTAAAGATTGCCAGCTACATGCCCCCTCTCCTCTGGGGAACCCCATCAGCGTTTCCAGCTCAGTGGCCACCAACCCAGTGCCTTACTCACTCCAAGGACCCAACAAGGCCAAAAAACTGCAGCCTGAGTAAGCTGAAGTAGCTAAGGCCTTCATTCCCCGTTCCCCAGGGAGGGATCAAGAAACCAAGATTAAGTAGCCAAGCGGTAGTCTATATAGGAACACCCTCTCTCCTCCCTGCTGAAGGAATGCTGCTTTCCAAAGACTCCTCAAATACTTAATGAGAAAAGAAGACAAGCAGAGAGCATCCATGCATGAAAACATGTACTTCATATACAATAATCGTTGCATAAAACACTGAAACACTCATTTTGATCCAGTTTCTATTTAATCCCTCTCTGAAGTCAATGTCTCAACCACTAGGCTGAAGAGCATTCTCCCCCTGTCCCCTTAGCCCAAGAGTTACTAATGCAAAATACCTCGACAGTGCATCTGCTCTCCCTGACTGTTATAAAATAATCATTAACTGTATCTACCCAGAAAGTATTAGCATGTTAGAAGTTCACATTAATTAAGTTCCCTTAATTAGCAGTACTAATTTGTATTATTTTAAAAATATCATGTTGATAATCTGTAATACCTAAGAGGGTGCGATGAACTGTGCATTACACTAAAAGAAGTTGAAGGTAAATTAGTAGGCACCCTAATGCCTTAAGGTTCAGATCAAGACGCGAGGTCTGCAAACCCTGAGGTCTGAACACAAACACATTTTAAGGATTGCAAAGGCAACACAGCACAGAAAAGACAGTAAACTGAACCCTGGGCTACTATCACATTGCAGTTTTGAACCTGTGCTGCATAAAAGAAAAATGAAGGAGCACATCACATTTAGAATACACAGAGTAACACTTTTTTTTTTTTTTTTTCAAATCTGAAAAGTAATTTTAAGTGACATCTAACATTCAGTATGGATGTACTTGAACAACAGAAATGCAGTTTGGGTGTCTCAGAAGCACTGCCTCACAAGAAGTGCTCCTCTAGCCTTGTACCTAAAAAGTATCGAATGCTAATGATTAAAATAACGGCCAACCTACTGCTCTGCTAGTATATCTTTGCAATGATGCCAAACAGATCAATTTCTAGCAGATAAAACCTACCTTTGATAGATGCTATAATCGCTCTGACAATAGCCAAGGATTTGACTCACTTCAAGAATACCAACCTTTTGTCCTACTACAATACATAATGCTATACTGTATGTATTTAGTATTTATAGTATCACACCAGGTACCCTCTAAATCACTGAAGTTGCCACCAATAAAAGGAAGCAAAAGAACTTTTGTGATAATTTTGCACTGCTAAAACTCAGTATCTGACTCCTAGAAATGCTTTGCCCCAAACACACTGGAGAAAAGGTGAATGTTTCATGCTCTGTCCTCTTCCATTCTCTTTACAGTAACCGCGAAGAGAAGCTAACAAGCAAGGAGGGCAGCATGTCTCTCTTCTATCCCTCTCAAGCGAGTTTTACATGGAAGAACTTTACATGAATGCGGTACCTTTGCACACTGGAAGGACTTATCCTCTTACTTCATGAAATGATTTGGAGTAAAGTCCACAGATTATTTTCAAAAGTCTCCTGAGTAAAATTTGGGAACAAGACCCATGCTCATGAGTCACTATGGTATTATCAGTACTATACTTAAAATAATGAGGTAGATGTGTAAAAACACTTACCTCAACAAAACCTTTAAACACATTCGTTCTGTTTTGCTTTTTCAAGCATAGTTTGAACAGACATTTTCATAAAATTCTGAGAAGTAAATGCCAGTGCACACACTTCTTGCCTTGAAGATTCAAGAAGAAGCAAGTGACCAAGGTACGTCACAATGAAAGATGCACTCCTGGAAGATGCTCTGACACTACAACAATGGGAGCGAACACCGAACATGTAGCAACAAGTGCTACACACCACAGCACTGCAAAATAACACTATAAAACATCCAAAATATTTTGATTTGTTTTAGAAGAAAAACCCAGTCATTACAGATGAGCCTGTAAGGCCATCAGGAAGGCCAACAGGAAGGTTTTCTTTAAGTATATAGGAGACAAAAGGAAAACTAGGGAAAATGTGGGCCCGTTGTTGAATGAGACAGGTGCTGTGGTGACAGATGATGCAGAGAAGGCGGAGTTGCTAAATGCCTTCTTTGCTTCTGTCTTCACTGTTTGGGCCAGTCCTTGGGAGATCCAGACTTTGCAGGTAACAGAGAAAGTCTGGGCAAAGCAAGACTATCCCTTGGTTGACGAGGAGCACGTTAGAGATCAGTTAGATAAACTGGATATACACAAATCCATGGGGCCTGATGGGATGCACCCGCGAGTGCTGAGGGAGCTGGGGGAAGTCATTGCTGGGCCTCTCTCCATCATCTTTGAAAGGTCCTGGAGGACAGGTGAGGTGCCTGAGGACTGGAGGATAGCCAATGTCACTCTAGTCTTCAAAAAGGGCAGGAAGGATGACCCGGGAAACTACAGGCCGGTCAGCCTCACCTCTATCCCTGGAAAGATGATGGAGCAGCTTGTGCTGGGTGTCATCTCAATGAATATGGATGAAAAGAAGATTATCAGAAGTAGTCAACATGGATTCACCAAGGGGAAGTCATGTCTGACTAATCTGATAGCCTTCTATGACAAAGTGACTAGATGGGTAGATGAGGGGAGG